GTGGTAACACATATGTCTTCCATGCGATGGGTCCGGATGGGACGGTGGATCTGCATCACTTATGATCTCTAATGAGAGTGAAAGTCGATTCTAGTGCTTCCGAGTGTATGGATGAATCGATGAATTGAGGATTGTGCTTAAAGGCTGAAGGATAGCCAGTTCAAATCAATCGATATTAATTATCCCATACCACTAGTAACAAGTAACTGAGAGTTAACTACGAATAACTTCAACTGATGTTGTTCAATGTTTGAAACACATCTCTCGTGGATTATGTTTAACTCTCTCTCTCTCTCTCTCTCTCTCTGCTCCGACTGCTCTGATGACAAGTATAATTCATCTTACGGAAAATACGAACCCAGTAGTCATGAATCGATGGAAACGAATCAGAATTCAATGCCTCACACACGTAATTACGTAACAGACGCAGACGGTACTTCCACACTCGGCCCAAGCAATTATCCTTCTCGGACGCGTGCACGACCTGAAGCCGCCGTCCGAGCCAATTCTACACGTGTGACTATCATCGGCTCGAATTCGGGCACCGAAGCTCAGTCCTATGGGAACTATTCACGAAAGCATCAAGATGCTACGGATCATGAGTTGTCAAACGTAAGTTTTGTAAAATTTATCAGAAACAACAAAAAGAACCAATTCAACCAATTCGCATACAGACCTACGATTTCCCAAACAATCCAGTGTAAAATTAGGTCTCTCCAGTGAAATTGACGGAAGACGTAGTCATTGTTCTCTGATCTAGATACATGAGTGACTAAAGGCTATCCGATGATTCAGGTAACAACAAATCAGCAATAGCAACACGTTCTATCGATCCCTCTCGGATCAGAGCTCAGATAGCCATCACCCAGTCTTCCGGTCAAGTGGCAACGTCAGGCTCCGTTTGAGCCCGGTGATTTGAGCAGTGCAAGGATGCAGTTCTGCGGTGACTGAAAGCGATCGGTTACAAGGATCCTCGATGCAGATGTGAAGGCTATGAAACACTGGATTGATTGTTTTGATGAGGTAGATCATAAGCGGGAATGCAGTAGGGGCCACAAACAAACTCATTCAAGTAAAATCACAAATTTCTCTATTCATTGATATAATGGGACGGTTTAACCTAAGAATGGTCAAGAACAATACCTTATCTTCTCGATTACCGTAACACCAGGTTCGCAAGGCTTCCGGTGGAACCTTCTCTAACCGCTCTCGTCAGAACTGTTCGAAAGTCACACTCAGGAAACATTTCTCCTCTTGTAATCATCAACAGAAAACTGAGGCTTCAGTCAGCAATGCGACAATGTCTGCGGCTCACTGAAATGTGAGGACAGATAACCTGGCGAGATGGGTGTAATACTACTACTACTACTACTACTACTACTACTACTACTACTACTACTACTACTACTACTA